GCGTACAGGTTGATGCACGAAGATCAAGGCGAAACAAATGCCTTGGATGACGTCCAACCAAAAAGATATGCGCTAGTTCTTCATGGAGGGAGGGTGGGTTGAATGAACCTGAGCTGATTGTCGTAGAAGCACCATAGGTGCTGAAGGACAAAGAAGCGAAACTAGTTCCTTGGAGGGAGGGTGGGATTGAAACAACTCACCTTCAAGTGTGAGGCCCAAGCCTCTGGAGGTACAGACCTCCCCTTTTCTTTTCCCACCCACCCAAGCCCACTGTGTAAATGTACATGGTGAGGTTGAGGTGGCAAGCTGACATGGTTTGCATACAGGTTGATGCACGAAGATCAAGGCGAAACAAATGCCTTGGATGACATCCAACCAAAAAGATATGCGCTAGTTCTTCACGGAGGGAGGGTGGGTTGAATGAACCGGAGCTGATTGTCCATGGGGGTTCGTGAAGAAACTTTCTGCACAGGCTTGGATCGTGAAGCTCTGAAAGTGCTTCAGCAGCTTTGTGCTGAAGGCGAAAAGCGGCTCCAGTCCTTAGCTGCTTGGCATTGAGGGACAATGGATTCAGTGGCAGTGGGCAAGAATCGAATTGAAGTGCATGAGTTCGAGTGAAACATTTCACCAGCCTGGTGAAAGCTGGCGACCTTCCACATTAGTGATTTGACATGATTTGACTACATATATAAATAGAAACAACACAGTAAGCAACCTATCAAAACCTGAATTTCCTTAAACCTTTACATCTCATCAGGTGTCATTCTACCCCGTGAAACGAAACTGGGGATGCTGGTGTACGGGCAACACCTTTTAACATTTTTAAACATGTATATAGTTTCAACCAGTTTAAACTGTTTCGCTGTTCAGAACTGTTGATGTCCCAAGTAAGGTTGTGGCAGCCGTTCGATGAACTCATTGACGGTGAAGATATGGGATTACAACAAATCTCGTTCGCTATCACGGACTCGGAACTACGTCACCATGTACTGCCAATTCATCCAGTTGAATGGTTGGAGGCCATCGCTAGTAGGTTGGAGGCCATTGCTCTTAGGTTGGAGGCCATCGCTATCTAAAAAATCCAGTTTGAAAGAAACTAGACCAGTTGAATTCGTCCATTGTGCAGGGCAGGGCCCAAGGTTCCGCTTGCACACCAGGCTTTGAAGCTACCCATTGACGTGCTGAGCCTCTCAGCTTGAAGAGACTGAGAAGCGGCTCTTCATTCGATTGGATTCATAGTCGCTGTGATACCATCAGCTTAAATGCATGTGAACAACGCCGATTCCGCTTAGAAACTCAAAAGAGCTCCAGCCCCGGATTTCTTGACAAAGACAAACTCCAAGTCCAGCCAGAACTGACCTATAAGGATTTTTCAGCTAATCCATCTTGAAGATTGATTAGAAGAGCATCGATCCTGGAACTATCGGATTCTCACCGCCCTGTTGAGCAAACGCACTACATTTTTATTCTTGTTGTTCCCCCCCTTGCCTTCTTGAAAGACAAGCAGGCAGGCATGTGTATGAGATTGACTGTGTAGCACTTCATTCACATCAAATCATATGGAATCTCTACCTCTACATCTCTTCAGAAGCAACCCCTGCTTCAAACCAGATTGGTTTGAGTGACCTCACCTGAGGACCCGGTCGGTCTGTTTGGTCTGAGACGTTGTTGGAGACGTCGAGGCCTTGTTTTCTACGAGTGCCGCTCTTTGGAGCGGCGTCTGATGACCTCGCCGCTGCCCTTGGCGAAAGACGGCGTGCGGGACACGGCGCCGCCGGTGGAGGAAGATTTGCGGAGGTCCCTGAGGACGCAGGAGGCCCGAAGGACCTCCAACCTACTAGCGATGGCCTGGACTAGTAGCGAACATTGTTTCTACTAGCTTCTTGTTACTAGTAGTATGGCACTTGTTACTAGAAGCGATGCACTTGTTACTAGTAGCGAACCTTGTTACTACAGGACTCCCTACCAGCCTTTCATTTGCTGTTCCTTGTTTAGAGATGTCCCGACTCAAGGATGACGGTTCACGTCCGTTTCACCTCTGTCGGAGTACATTCACCAGCTTCCCCCGACTATGTCATATAATTAGTTTTTGCCGTTTTGCAGGTTCTCCAAGTCACTCGCTCCCAGTCTTTACAGATTGACAGTCCACGGTGACCATTTTCTGGAGAAAGCATACCTGATGAGGCTCCGCACACTTCATTTTCGGACAAGTGCCTCTATATACCATGTTAGAAACACGGATTCGGTTTAAACATGTTTTTTGAAACCACTAACACTGGCCCACCAACAATGCGTCTCACATGCAGGAAACCTTGGAAGACGGCTACTGGGAGAAGGCGGCTGGAGACGGCAACCGAGAACCACACTACAGGAGAGGAGCACAAACGGGAAGAGGAGAAGTGATATGCGTCCGCATGACCCTCAACATTCTCAACATATCCCAATTCTTGGAGGATTCTCCTCAAGTCCGAATCAAGTCCCTGGTGGTGCATCCACGCATTGCAGGGAAGACATCGAATCGTTCGCAGATGAGAGAGATTGCCTACAACGACATACTTGTACCACCATACATGACATGACCGCTTTGCATAGCTCCCTAATAGCTTCTTGCTCCTAGTAGCGATGGCCTCCAACCTAAATAGCGGTGGCCTCCACCTAGTAGCGTCATTGCTCCTAGTACCTAGCGATGCCCTTTAGCTGCTAGCTTCTTGTTGCTAGTAGTAAGGCCAGGAGCTACAAGTAGCGTCCTTGTTACTAGTAGCCATGCCCTTTTTCCCCAGCTTCAGGAGTCCCAACTTGGGCTCCACTTTGGTTTGGGACTTCGGAAAGTTAGAGATCGAACCAGTCCGGAAACTGCTCGAGGAGCTGAAGGCGCAGATGGCATGTTGTTTGGGGAGTTTTTGTTCAAGGGTTTGTTAATAATTGTGATTACATAACTTCCTCTCGAGGTATCCTGTCGAGGTGAAGTAGAAGACCTGTTGAGATCCATGAACCCTGGTGTCTATACTTAAACTTACGTTTGCTATTGCATGTTTTTGGATTTGGTATACATTACATCATCACTTCACCGTATTTTGTGAGTTTACGATAGTTGCAGACTGACAGCAGCTTCGCTTCAGCCACTCGGTTGGGAGTCTTGGAATCAACGTTTCAAGATAATAGAGTTGTTTGCAAGTTAGGAATATCCACCACTCACCTGAACCTTCCCACCTTCCCATCTAGGGCAAGCAGCACAAGACAGACATGCAACGTTTCGCCGTGGAATCTATTGTGTTAACACATAATGTAAATTGTGATAAGTTCGTACAAACTCTACTTACATACGCACCAAGTGCGGAACATGAAGAACGGCACAAGGCATACAGCACGCAGTAAAAAAACAAAGATCTGATTATATAGCTTGCTTGGGAAGAGAAAAACATCAATTTTCAGACACTGAACCGAATCAGGGATTCACCAGTACAGGCAGGGAGGTGGCATCAGGATCTACTCAGGTTTGTCGGGAACGTTTTCCGCTCTTTTGCATCATTTCATGACTGAAAATAATGGCCTTTGCAGCTTATGTCTAAACTTTGTGATCAGGAGGTCTTTGGCTCCAATGCAGACTTGAACTCGCTTGTGATATGATATGTGGCTTTTGTTGCCTCCACTAAACTAGACAAGAGGTGTCACTTGGATACGCCGTTGTGTTTGTTTCTTCAAAGTAGTTATACAATTTGTATAGTTGAAGTTAAATGTCATAATTTCCCGAAACATCTAAGAACCAAATCATCAAGCCTGAGTCCTTATGCGCCCGAGCTATGCTACGTGTAGCGTCGCTATTATATCTAGTAGCTACTGCTAAGCACATGACATATAATGTTTCCGTGACATCATGAACATACTCCATATTACTCCTTGAGTCTATGATTTTTTTCTCCTAGGTTGCTCGAGCAGCAACCTGTTTCGGGTCTTTCTTTGACCAATTTGCCACTGCGTTCCATCTAACCTGACTAACCTGCAGGCCTTTCGGGAGGAGGTGACAAAGGCCTTGCCAGGCGAGAGTGCCGCGCCTTTGACAGACACGTGGATAGATGTTGATAGAAGCACCCAGACCTATCAAAACCCGGTAGAACTCTTTGGACTAGCGGCAATGAATATCAATATCAATGAATGGTCCAAGGTTTCCGTGCATTCCATTCATTTGTGAATGGTTGGTTCCATGCCTGGCAATGGCAATGGCACGAGGCAGAAACAACCCTTGTCAGCTGGGCAGGCTACTACCTCTTCTTTGATGAAACGGCCCTGCACGTCACAATCCGAGCATTACAGGCATGACTCCATGACATTTGGTTCAGTTCCCCGGCTGTACTTGGCAGAAGCGGTCATTTGACAGACACAACAGAGCGGCGATGTCGCGATGTGTGTAACCCAGTGAGCAGATGGTTGATTTTGGAGTCTAGAGGAATCGAGGTCCACAGATCCCTCAGTTGAGGTGGTGAGCCCCTTGTTGAACTGACCGGTGCGGAGTGCCGCCGAGTTCCGCCAGCAGAATCGGAGAGAAAGTCTGAGGTCTGCTTCCACTGTGAGAATGAGGCTGCTCAGCTCGATGAATCAGAAAATGAGCCGTTGAGAAAGTTGGAGACCGTCCCGAAATGCTCTGAGGAAGGATGAAAGTGCTGGGAATGCTTCGAGCAAAACCGGAGTTGAGGGCGAGCAGGGACAGGTTTGTTGGGTGCTATATAGAAGTTGCTAGACTGATCTAGAATCTAGCCTGCACATTTTGCCGGGACAATGATTTTTTATTGTGGAAGTATGATGCTGGCCATCCCACACAGAGTCACAGAGCCCCAATCCACAGACATAGTACAAGAACTTGGCGAAAGAAGGGTGAGCTCTGGGTGGTTCTGCAAAATCCCAATGACTTTGCCTGGCATTGTTTCTTATCCCTACAATCTGTTCCCTTTTCCTGAGGCAGCACTCACGTGAAGACTACATACGCATGGCCAGTAACTTGCCAGGTCCTGCCATATCCGTTTCCGCGCCACCCGCCGCTCGGGAGCCTGGGGGAAATGCCTTTGTTCCTGGTTGTGCCAGCCAGGACAGCTGCTTTGGCTGTACGCCCAGTATACACACAGAGTTTAAACCGTGCGTGCACAACACTTTGAAGAAGACGCCGTGTGCAAGAATGATAACTATATATATATATATAGATTCTGGTGGCGCATGTTGCTGTGCTGACTGTGCTGACTTCCAGTTGATGCGACAAACTTGCTGGCTGTCATCCTGTCCCTGACTGTAGCAACTGGAGGTCGCTGACGCGAGACGTTTTAGCGCAAACAAGCAATAAGCTAACAGGAACAATAACCGACTAGGAACAAGTGCCACGCTACTATGAACAAGTGCCTTATTAGTAGTAACAAGAAGCTATTAGTAAAAATAAGACCCAGTAGATATGCAGACAGCAGGACTTGGACAGCATTCTGAGACACATGCATCGACAGCAGAATTGGAAGGCGCAAGGCCCCCAATAGACAATCAGAAGAAAAAACAGTATTAAACTTAAACATAAGGAGGGATATAAGGGCATTACTACTAGGAACAAGAAGCTACTAGTGAAGGGGTAGCTGCCTTAGTTGTTGATTCTCCAAAGGACTGAGCCAAGAAGCACAAGCGAGGACAAGCTACTCACCGTGCTCTGTTGGCCCTGTTGACCCATGCTTCGCAGTTCTGTGTGAGTGACCAATGCGTCTCAGTTTGCTCGTTTAGGATCTTAGAAGTTGATGCTTTGCAATCTCTGCTATACACGTCATGGGCAACTAACTATTGGAAAGGTGGGAGAGCATGCGATTTGCATCCGCTTGGACACTGCGATAGGGTAACAGAGCCAGTCCATTCATCCCACTACTCTCTTACAACAAAATCAATAACAGTGCTATTGCGACAGGAGGGCCCATAAATCACTGAGGGGCCAGGGTGAGAAATATTCGTGTGGACAGGACTGTGTCATACTTATCCTGGCATCGTGGAAATATTGTGGAAATCTTTACAGCCACTCAAGAGCTGTCTTGCTAGTTGTATGCTCCCTTTCAAATTTGCTTAGGGCTTCCCAGAATGCATTTTCGAAGAACAGCAAATTGATTTAGCCTTTCAAAACCACACCCGTGAGCTTTAGAATGCTTTTGCAGAGTTCAGCGCTCACTTTGTAAGTCGACCCCTCGCTCGAGCTTGCTAACTGGCAAGCCACCACATCCCTGCGCGGCCTTTCTGGCATCCCACCGGCTAGAAAAGCGGCGGTTTCCTGACCTACCTGCACTGGAAGGCTGTCAGGGTATGTTCATGAGTCAGGCGTCACCAAAGTAGAATAGTTTTCTTTGCTTCAAAGGATATCCTCAAACTGTTGACATAGGATAAGATGATCCTAGCGTTGACAGAGGAGAGGAAAGCTAAATTTAATTCGTATTGCACGTGAAATGACACTGGATGTTGGATCTTTGCCACAGTTTCAGTTTCATCAGGGAACTGGACCTACGGTTTCACATCCTGGAACCACAGTCTATTCTGCAGTCAACGCTGATGGTACCTTCGACTTCCCTACTGCACGGCGGGTGCTTGTCGGGGTAGCCCAGCTTCAAGTCATGTCGCAATATACATGATAGGATCGCAGTTGACAGATGACAGGTTTTGCTACAAAGTACACAGTCATGCTATCCTTGTCAGTCCAGGTTTGTTTGGACGTTGTGGCATGTGCAATTGAAAGAGGTGTCCAATCTACTAAATGTGAGTGATTGCTCAATTTCTGCATGTTGACTAGAGACGAATTCGTTTGAGGGGAATGTCAAAGCTATACAGTGTAGCCTATACTGTACATATTTAAAGTGATTTACAACGTATCAGTCAATGTTCCATAATTCCATAATTATATATGTTCATAATTTGAGGTTGAAAAGGGTTTCACCTTTGTTTGTTGGGCGATCAGTTTTAAAGGTTCAGACTGCATTCCGTTTCAGGTTCGGCAGGATGAGTTTGTGGGGGACCTACAGCAGGAGCCGAAAACAAATATATTCTGGCCCCCGATAGAGAGATTGGGCAACCAGCAGATTGGAGTGGATCGGCAAACAAGTCTCACCATAGGTTGGACAAAATTTAGCTATTTGTTGAAAGCCCGTGGCCGTGCTTCCTTACTTAATTAAGTAGGCGCCGACTTGATTAAGTAAGGAGGTAAGCTACTAGCAAAGGAAGCTCCTAGCTAGGACGCAGGACGGCTCACGCTTCTTCAAGGAGGGCCGGGGGTAGCTTCCTTGAAGAAGCGCTCGCACTAATGATTTGATTCCTAGATTTTTGGAGACAGACCTAGCCCTCGCACTTATGGGTCAGACCTTGCCAGGATCAGAGTCGAAGCACATCGAAGGAAGTCATTAGTGCTTCGGCCGCAGTTGCCACTTTAACAATTGCACCCTTGTCCTGCGTTTCTCAACTTGAACTTGTCATGTTATTGAGGGCTGTTAGACATACCATGTACATCCATGTACCATTTATCCTTGCTTTTGTGATGTTTGTGCGCACAGGTAGGACATTGTAGAACAATGCTTGAAGCTTACTCCTGGAACTTTGGGGTTTCGTCAAGGCAACCAACCTTCGCTGGACCACCTGAACTAGAGATCGACTAGCACTGAGTATCCTAGTATACCTTGACTAGTCCAGTCAGAGCAGTTCTGAGCAGTTGAGCCTAGTTCGCAACCTTCAAGTGTGGAAATATGTATATATATCTCTATGTATAACTTGTAACATGTGAATACTGTGGATGGAGTACCGCGACAGCCCAAGCAACAAGCCAAACCATGACCCCCTAGAATATCTCTCACTGTTCGTCCAGTGCCCCAGAGTAGCTTACGGTAAGCTTTCTTTTGGGCTTGCGTCAGAGTTTGGCAAACAACATGCTGAAACTTTGCTTTGATAACCATGGCAAGCCGTAAGCTAGGGGACACCTCTTCTAAAGGCTAGGGTCTTTGGCCCTTGCACCATTTGACTGTGACTGAAGACCTAAGACATCATTGGTTTCTCCAGATCACAACATCATTGGAGCTGTACATACATCACATCCATTTGAGGTCCTGATAGCTCAAGGGCCGCATTGTCCCTCGACTTGGAGAGCAGGGTGAAGGTGGCAACCTGTGCTTTATATAGATTGTTTTGGAATGCATGAAC